TCAACCACCAAATCAAAATCCCCCATTTTCAAAATGAATACAATTAATTATTTTTATTTAGCAGCAGCAGCACACACCTGACAAGGATCCGATGAATTGGATCGGGCGAGAACAACTTTCCCATCTCGTATGGTTAGCGAGTAATTAGGTTCGGCCTTGCTGTACATTCTGAATGAGGGTTTGTTGGCAAATTCGTCGTCGTCTTTGTGGTGGTCGGTGTGGTGATTTATGACCGGAGGAAAGTGGGGCATATGGGGATGGTGGTGCTGGTGGTTTCCGCCGCCGGGTGGTGGTGGTGGGGGGTGGCCGGCGAAGGCGGAAGGGGGAGGTGGTGGAGGGTATGACTGAGGCCCGGGGCCGGTGTGGGAGGTGTGGTGGACTTGCGGAGGCGGAGGAAACGGCGGCGGGGGTTGGTTTACGCCGTAGAAGGGAGGAGGGGATGGTCGCGGCGGCGGAGGTCGGTGCTGCTCCTCTTCTCTCCGGCCATGGTGATGGTGGTGGTGGTGATCCATGAGCTTTGATGATTGAACACGGCACTAGGTGTTTGATGAAGTAGTGAGTGTGTGTGTGTGTGTGTGTATGTATATATATATATAAAGGAGCAAGACTTAAGGGTTAAGATTGTTAATTAATTGCGATTAAGAGGTAAAGATTGTTTATTAATTAATTGGCGGAGAGGGTGATCAAATTTGTCAAGTGATGGCTTCGGGGATGCTTCTTGTTTGCAGACACTATTTGCAGAGTTGGATATTTCTTCTTCTGTTTAGATATTTTAATTAGGTGTGTCGACATCGGGTAATTGCCACTTTCCACCCTCAAATTACATGAGTTTGGCACTTTGGACCCTCAAATTATAATAATAGTATTTTGCACCATCTAATTACAAATTCCTCGGCAATTTGCACCTTCATCATCTTTTGGCCTGAAAAGTGATGGGAAACCGGTTTTTGTAAGGATGACAAATCTGTCCTTCTTTTTTATTTATTTTTTTATTTTTTTATTTTGTTTTGTTTGTTGTTGTTTGTTAAAAAAAAAAAGGGCAGATTAGTCATCCTCATTTTCTTAGTGTAAAACGAAGAAAAGAGTTGTGAACGTTTATAACTTTATTATGAGAATAGAAAAGGACAAGTCCGGTCTTTTGCAAATTTCACATAATCGGTTGCCCTTCACTTTCGAGCTAAAAGTGTTTTAAAAATCGGCTGAGGCGGCCGATTAATCGGTCTCCGAGGCGGAGGCGGTCTAAAACCTTTACGATTTTAGTATAAATGTTTGAAAAATCGGTTTTTTGCCTATGAGGCGGTTTTAGGCGGTCCGAGACGGTCCGAGGCGGTCAAACCTTTAAAGCGGGTCAAACTCGGTGGCAAAAATCGGTCAAAAATAGGTTACAAATTGGTTTTCTTTTTTTTTTTTCTTTTTATAATTCAAAATAAAAGTTGGATTTTAATAAAAGAAAATATGAGTTTATGCCTTATTTTGTTTATGTTAATTGTTATTGTTAAAGAACTAATGATGTATGCGAAGAATGTTCAAGAATAAATGTAAATTCAAAAAAAAAAAAAATTATTTATATTTTATGAGGATATTTATGTATTATGATCTTATAATTATTAAACTTTTATTATGTTATTAGGATATATACATGATGGAGATATAACTATGTTTAAATATCTTTTTATATATGTTTGGAGTATTTATAAATAATATTTAGAAATATATTATATTAAATTTTAAAAACCGATTTATTTCCGATTTATCACCGATTAATCACCGCCGCACCGATTAATCGTGAGTCGGTGTCTGACCGACTCGGACCCGATTACTGCTTTTTACAACATTGGCTAAAACATGATGGAGGGTGCAGAGTGCCAAGAACTTTGTAGTTGAAGAATGCAAAGTGTTATTATTTCAATTTCAGGGTGTAAAGTGCGAAATTCATGCAATTTGTGGGTGCAAAATGCCAATTACAGGTCGGACATTGTATTATTATGGGTAAATTACAACCGCCCCTGAAATAAGATTTATTTACACAACATTCCCTAATTTTTGCATAATTACATATACCCTTAAAATTTGTAGATATCTTATATTAACACCTTTTTGTAGGAAATCTACAAACAGCACATTTCTCAAAATGAAGTGGTTTTGTTGTGATTATACTTTACCTTGGGGAAATGGTTATCCTATTATAAATGATGAAAATTGCAATAAAATTTTTGAATTCTCTCAATTGAAATTTGAAAATTTTCGATTTTATACCAATTCTTCCATTCCAAATTCCGAGAATTCTGATTTACAATTTTCCGAATCTGAATTAATCGAATTTGGATTATACATGAGATATTAATTTTCCCATTTTAATTTTAAAAAATAATCTTGAATTGTTTTTCGAAAATTTACACTTATAATATCATAAGTATATTGTATTTTATATAATTGGGTAAATAAAAAATAAAAATTCCAAATTCAGCCGATTCCAATGAGAAAAATTCTGATTAGGAACAAGAAATTTCATTCCAACCCGAAAATTTACGAAACTGTCGATTTTGGTCGTCGTACCATGATTGTATTTGTTTCACCTATTTTTCTAAGTTTTATTTCCACGTAATAAGTTACTAATTAATAAACTCACATGAAGGAATCTAACAACTCAGGAACCCTAAACTTGTTTAAATTCTTGAAATCTAAACTATAAATAAATAAATCAGCACTAAATTATCATTAATTAATCTAAACTTAACCTAACGTAGCACACTGAAACCACAGCAATATAGAACAATAGTAACTTTTAAATAATTAATATTGTTTGTTTTGTTTATTTGTTTTAAGTATAATCTAGTAATGTTTAGTTTATCCGAGTATGCATGTTCTATAGCAATTTGCATGGTGTTACTCGTGTGTGTATTGCATATTTGTATAATTGTATTGTGTTTTTGTTTTAATGCAATAAGACAAGTTATTGAATATAACAAGATTTAGTAGGAGAGAAAGAGAGAGAGATTAGTTGGAGAGAGAGAGAGAGAGAGAGAGAGAGAGAGAGAGAGAGAGAGAGAGAGATAGATTAGTAGGGGAGAGAGAGAATTATTAGTAGGGGAGAGAGAGAGATTAGTAGGATCAAGATGTAGTGGAAAACCGAAGTTGTTACTGCACCCGTTTCTCAAGGAACTAGAATTCATCTACTCGTTCAAATATTACATCTTTTTACATTGTTTGAAATTCATAACTAACAACGGTAAACAAGCCAAGAATTGCTGCAAAACTAACTAACTCTCTCTCTCTCTCTCTCTCTCAACACAGGGCAACACACAAAAATCCACTAAAGGAAGAGCCGAAAACTCGGAAGAAGAAAATGAAGCTAATAGCAGAGATACTAACCGGAACTCTATTCTACGTGGAAGTGAAAGAAGATGCCACAGTTGGAGACTTAAAGAGACAGATCGCAGATCAAGAAAATCTCCCGATCGATCAACTCATTCTATTACTAGACAATGCTCAACGGCAAATCTTGCTCGAACAAGTCGAAGTTGGTCTCAAAGAGCATGGTGTTAAAGATGGCTCACATATCTATGTTTTTATTACACCCACTGGAGAAGGTTTACCTGATGATGCCTTCTTTGGTCGATTCGGATATACTCAAATCCCTCCTGATAAGCGCAGTGTGTGATAAATAATGTCTAGCAAAAAAATCGATTTTTTTTTTTGGAAGTATATAATACAATTGCCTATTTTTAATTACCTGCATTTTTGGCACCATTTCTTGATAAGCTGCTTCGAGTTCTTCTTCTGCATTTTCGGACCTGCATGCTGCTCGTGAAATGTCGAATGTACTATTATAACGCCTCTTTGAAGAAAATTAGAAACGAAACTGCGATACTCAGAAACAAAATATCAAGAATATCCATATCACAACTTCTTTTGATTGAAAGAACACAAAAAGAATCCATCTGGATAGAATTGGACTCTTACGTAGTTCTGTTAGATAAACCCGGATAGAAGACTGTAAAGGAGCAGTAAAAGACTGTCTGAACAATGAATAACGGGACTTTGTAGTAAAATACGAAATAAGAATTTGAGTATATTGTAATCGAATCGTTCAGATACAAAGACTGTGTTAAACTGACAAGATGGTGGGGAAGGCTACTGCATCGTATAAGCTCTAAAGTGACGTTAGCACAAAACAACTCCAAAAAGAGGGCAACCCTGTCAAGATTTTCTGTAAGACTGCGAATTAAAGTGAAAACAAAGACTAATAAATAAAAATAAAAATAAAATTTATATTCGCCTACTCGGACCCATCTGGAAACGGATCAAGAGCATCTTTCATGCCAAGGACATAATAATCAAACACGGCTTTCATCCTCGGATATTTATCAGGATGGTAATTCACATGAACAATAACCGGTTTAAGTTGTCTCAAACGAGCATCTTTTCTAACCGTCTTGAAAAGAACTTTGCTATTCATAAACATGTAAATATCCATAGTCCTCTTAGCAGCGTAAAGCCCGTCATAACCAGGGTGCGACGGAAAAAATAGCTCTTCGTTAAAAACAGCTTGATCCCAAGCATCTTCTTTTGCCAGCCTGTCAGCAATCCGATCCAATAGCTCAATGGAAGGCACAGTTGGCCTTATATAAAAGAAACCCGAATTATAAACCCAAATCCTCGTTGTGTGTACGTATCGAGACCAACCCATTGCAGGCTCGTCAAAAACATCAATAAACCCGTAAGCTGTCATGTTATTATGCCCGTCTGACATGGATTCCACGTCGGAATCTCTATACAAATGATGAAACGGGTTCTGCAGGTACACTATATCCACATCCGATAAAAGAACACTATAACCAAGCTGCAAAAACTCCCTCAAGATTCGGAATTTCAAAGCTGACACAGCGTGGTTGCCGCCTGTTTTTCCCACTGTATCAATAGCCTCGTCTGGGTCCCGCTTGTACACAGGCACATCGTTCGACTCGCAGAAGTCTAAAATCGGATCGTCTAATGCCACTACAAGGTAGTTAGGTATGTCCACTTTCTTGATGCTTGTGAACCAGATTTCGAGCATGGCTCTAACGTTTGAATTGGCTAGGCACACTATAAGCTCTTTTCCGACTGCGACTTTGGACAAGATCTTCGCGAGTCTAGGGTTTACAGTTTCGTCGGGAATTACGGGAGGGTTTGTTCTTGACCCCTTGACTGTACCGAAAGGCCCAGCCTTGGTTGGTTTGCTGGAGACCGTAAGCTGGTCCCGTGCACGGTCTTTTCCTTGCTCGACGAGGCGTATATTTTCCTTCAACTCCCTAACTTGCTTCTTCAACTCGACGTTCTTGTCGGATAACCTCATAATATCTGACTTCAATAGATCTATTTTTTCCGTAGATTCACATGATGACGAACCAACCTATGCACCAATCCACTGAATAATTAAGTAAAATTCTACAGAATCATAGTATTGAATGGAATTTATGGAAAAGTTACGAACAAAATCTAGTACCATAAAATCAGCTTCCACATGCATGTATACTAAATTTGATACTAAAACATTTTATAGCTTTGTTTGATTCTAAGAGCATCTTCTGAAAATCAAGCAAAACAGCAGTTAAGGAAGAACATAATAACTCAGGCATGTATCAACTGGTATTCAATTATTTCATTAATTTGAAGTAAAACAGAGCTCGGGAGCAAAAAAAAAAAAATCAATTTCCTTATTTTTAAGAAACCACATTACATCCCTCAATTTTAAGAAACCACATTACATCCAAATAAACGTACAATGCGAAAAAATCAAAAGAAAAAAAAAATAAGGCACCTCAAAATTAGACTTGGAGCGGAGGCGATTTTGAGCAGGCGGATTGGCGGAGAAGAATCCATGGGGGAAAGCGAAAGCGAAGATGCAGCCAGCCAGCACTCCGATCCCGATTGCCACCGCGATTCGCGATTGGTTGTTCTTCTCTCTCCGGCCCACCGCCATTTTCCAATTACGTTAAATCAGAAATTATTGTTTGGGATTTTCTGAGAGTTTTTTTGTAATTAACAAACTTTTGAATTATTGTTTATTAGTATCTATAAAAATTGGCAACTATCTTAATTATTGTTCTCTCTCTCTACAAAAGTTGGCAACTATCTTAAAATTAGGATTTGAGAGTTGACTATTGATAATAAATGGCTGGCGCGTGTATCTACGTGCCTGAGGTCGTAGGGTTACCTAATTGTAGACACGGCCACGGGCCGGTTCGGGCCGGTTCCGGGCCGGTTCGGACCGGTTCACGGTTCACATTTTCCGGAACCGGAACCGGCCCGTGGCGTGCACGGTTCACCGGGCCGGGTCGGCCCGCCGGTTCGGGCCGGTTCCGGGTCGGCCCGGAATTTTTGATTTTTTTTTTTTTTTTTTTTTTTTATTTTTTTTTGAAATATTTAATGAATAAGTAAATTAAAAGAAATACTTTTAAATAGATAAATGAAAAGGAAATAAATGAAAAATCAATTTAGAAGCACAAGTTTGAAATATTTGATGAATAAGTAAATTATAGGAAAAATTGGGGTGTGAGGGTATTTATAGGAAAAATTGGGGGGGTTTGGGGGCAAAAAAAATTCAAAAAAAAACAAAATTGGGGTGTGAGGGTATTTATAGGAAAAATTGGGGGGGGGGGGGGGAAATTTCAAAAAATTCCAAAAAAAGTTAAATACGGGCGGTTCACCCGGGCCGGTTTACCGGGCCGGTTTACCGGGGCGGGTCACCCGCCGTTATTCCCTTTTTTTTGAAATTTTTTGAAAAGCATGCGTTTCTCGTTTTTGTTTTTTAAAACCCGGGGA